GTGTTTCTATGTTTCTATTATATCATAATTGAAGGAAATTTCCGTCCCCGGTTTCCTCCAAGGCGTGAGCGATAAGCAGAGTTTTGTCCTTTCCTTATAAGACTCCTAATTATTCAAAGTAACACTCAGGTATGCCGTTCAGCAGGTTAGTTACAGCGCCGGGAGTAGCTTGGGAGAACAAGGAAACACAGACTGCTTCAGGTTGCTTTCCCAAAATCAACTCAAAGGTTTATTAAGTACACAACAGCTTATATAGAGGAAAAAAAGGTTCGTGTGTCAGCAGGTTCTCAGTTCAAACCGGTACAGACCAAATAAGGAAACGTCTTCCTGCCCTCTGAGCAAAGAAGTATCCTTTGTGTAGTTTATCAGTTCAGCTACAATTTATGATCATCCCAGCAAAATACACTCCTAGACATAGAATACAGAGTTCTTCATTAGTGAATTCTGAAACAAACCACCTGGCCTTTAACAAGCTCTTTTCTAAAGAATAAGGAAGGGAGGATGGGAGTGATCTCTGTGGTGTTTTCAACCTTGAGGTACCATCCTGTGATTCTTACACATTAATTCTTGGGTCACAGAGAAAGAGAAAAACAACTAGTAAATGGGCCTTATTGAGTAACAGTTTTCCTGTATAATATCACTATAAAACAATATCCTGTAAATGCTACCATGGTATCAAAATATCACAACAATAATGTTCTGCATGATATTTGAAAACTTAACACTTGTTAAATTTGATAACATGATACTATCTTCAAGTGACATAAATGCGTCATCGAGTCGACAGAAATAACCAAATAATGGATTTGTGAATAAATTTAGACTGAATTGACTCTTGAATCTCTCCAACACATTTTTATTTGTATTTGAATATATATATGTATGTATGTATGTACTCTCATAGTCTGTAAATCACATGATGAATGAAATTAAGATGCTCCTAATCTATAATGAGAAAAAATTGTTAAGAGTTTTATTCATTAAAAAACTGAAAAAATTACAGTTTATAAAATCTATACATGATTAATAAGCTGAAGCTGAACAACCCCAACAACATGATGTCCAGCCTGATGTAAGATAGTATATCCATAACATGGTTATTCCCTGAAATCATGTTGTCCATTCATTTAACCATTTAGTGTTAATAATGGACCTCAGCCTATGACCCTAAACATTTAAAGTATGAATTAATAATGTAAATGTAAAACAAGCCTAAAGTTCAAACAGACATATGACACAGGTCTGAAGTATGCATTCTACATGTATGGATTTCTATGATATCAAATATTAATATCAGAGATATTGATAAAATGTTGTAACACATTCCTACTTTCGCACTGCAAGTATTCCCAGTCCCAGTAGACCAACAAGAACACCAATGGCGAAACTGGTGACCATAACATTTCCCAGATTGGGCTCTCTTAGCATCTCATCAGTGTAGTATCGTCCTCCATTTCTCTGAACCAGCATGTGTATCTTCCTCTGCAACTCTAAGACCTGAGTGAGATCCCCATCATTGTTATTTAAAACATGATATCCTCCATGACACTGATGAATGATAGAACGGAGAGATGGATTTTCACGGATTATTTCTTCAATGGAGCGCCCTTGAGCTTCCAGAATGTCTCCATGGGTGAACAAGAGCAAAGAGAAACGTGCTAGGTGTTCTCCAAATATCTGCCGAATGGTTCTCATTATTCTTCTATCATTTTCCGTGAATCTGTTTGGATCGATCACAACCAAGAACACATGTGGGCCCGGAGCAGCAAATGTGATGCAGTTGGTGATGTGCCTCTTCACCTCATCTTGATCTTGATTGGGATGGAGCAGGCCTGGAGTATCAACTAAAGCCAGTGTTTGTCCATAAAACTCTTCTTCTCTCCTCAGAGTTACTGGTGCTGCTACAGCAGGAAGCCTCATAGTTTCAAAAGCTCTTCTCCTTAAGATGGTATTTCCTGCTGCACTCTTCCCAACTCTCGTTTTCCCAACAAGCACCATCCTGAGCTCAGGTTCATCTGTCACAGAACATCACAGAGACATTATTCATGTCTGGTCCCATTAAAAAACGTATTTCATAACACTGACACTGTGCCCTCTGATTGTAAATTGGATATTAAGAAGATATAGATTTATCCTTCACCAAGAAGAAAATGTAATATGTCTACACTCCTGTATGCTAGACGTAGTAATAAAAGATAAATTGAGGGAATTAAATATAAGAACAACATTTAAAAAAAAAAGTAAAACAGGGTTAGGTTCATATTAAAATCAGATTTATCACAGGGAAATGCGTCTGAACATTAAATGAATATGAAAGATGTAAATATACTTACTGGCCATGTCTGTCAACAATGAATAAGTTGAATAGTTGTTACTTATTTGATGCTGCAGAATAATTCTCTTCCCTTATCGGCTGTTTTGTTTCCTCTTTTTCAACACATCAAGGTCAGAGAGAGATCACATTTATTTGCTGTTGAAAAAGGTGGTGCAGCAGCATGACGTAGTTTCTGGTTGAATGTTTACAGCCTGACTGAAAGCAGGAAGTATTCCAGTAGGCCTAGAACACCAGGAAGGAATTATTTGTAGAGCTCAAGCTCACGGTGACTCCATCAAAGTGACTTCACGACAAAGATTTTGCTTATTACAGAAATCACTCAAAGATATGTAGGAAATCTTTAGGAAAATCTGTTAAAAGTCTTTAACTCTGTGTGTTTTGTCTTTTCTTTTGGCAAATTAATCAGTTAGACAGTAAAAACCCCTCCTTACATAATCCACAACAAGACAATTACTAAGGTCTGTATTTGCCTACATTTCATTTTTAATTTTTGTATTTTTTTATTTTAATTATTAATTATATATATATTTTTTTCTTTTATCACCTTTACTTTGTATGGATTTTGCAGAACTTATTTCATTGTACTGGTGTCTTTCTTTTCCAGGACACTGTAAAATTATGATTATTTTTTAAACAAAACAAAACTGCCAACCTGAAGAGTCACTTTCATCATATTCAACCAATATTTGCAAGGTTTATGAAGTTGCAGTGGAATTTCCCTACTGGGCATGACTTTAGATGCAAAAATTAACAACAAGGAAAACTTACTTTTGAGTTGATGTTTGTGACAATAATTTAAACCAAAAAAAAAAAAAAAAGTAAATAAAACCCTTCACTTTATGTTTATTTCTGATGTTTGAAGGAAACATCTCTGTGTGGCCCTGGAATCCAATCTCTTTCTACATGTTACTCTCAAATTTTAAAGCAGAACCTCTTTCTGATAGGGGGTCTGTGTAACCTTCACTATATGTACTTTGATTTGCTCTTAAAATCTTTTACTTTTTAAAAAGTGAGCTATGTTAAGAAATAAAGAACATTAAAATGGCAATTTTTTGTGCTGCTTCTCTGTTTATATTAGATTATCAGATTATTTTCCAGGCCCTTAGCTATAACTTCAGTATACCTCAATATTTTGTATAATTTGTTCATATGTTTTTTTAAATGAAGGAAAAAGAAAAAAAAAATTCAAATAAAAAGAAAATACACACTAATATAAAGGAGCTGTGGACACAAAAATGCCAGTAAAGACCAGTGTGTGTATTGCTGTTTTGTCCTCTTCTTTCATTATGTACACTGTGGTTTCATTTCTTTAATGGCTCATATTCAAATACTATCCTGACTGTTGCCCATGTAGCGTCCGTGTAGCGTCAAGACCCAAACACTTCGAAGGCTGGCGATTGGTTGGAAGAGGCAGTTACTTTAGTAAGACCCGGTGCGCTGATCTCGGCTTCGGAACCAGTGTTACGAGTGATCCGTGGACGGAACCGGGATGAAAGAATGAACAAAGCTGGATAACACTTACGGCACTGAGACGAACAGCGGCTGAAGGTGTGAAGGTGTTGGAGCTCCTGACATGAGGGAAACGATGTCTGAGAGGAGAACAGGTTGGTGGGTGGGATATAAACCCAGTCCTCGTGCTCACATGACAACTACCTGACAGACTGGTTCTCTGCCAAAAGCTTTTGTTTTTTAATTAGTCAGTTTCACTTTCTTTATCCATTCACCCATTCAGTTCACTTATATGTTTGCTTTTGTTTTCAAAGATCAGATCATGTTCACTTTGTATTTTGCTTATTTTGTTCTGTGGTGTTTGATTCAATGTCTTAAGATAAGTAAAACAGATTCTTATCAGGTAAAAAAACACAAACTACGGACTATTAAATAAAAATTTCGTTCTCTGTAGAAATACTTTTGTTTTGTTTTTCCAGATCATAAAAATTAACCAAACATTGCAAACATTTTCAAATATCTTCCTTTATTGAATGGTCTTTTCTCGTTTACTTCCATCTTGACCAGTGTCTGATCTAGAGGTGAATGTACTGTCTTTATGTATTTTAAACTTGTGTTTCAGAGTTAGCTTTCAGAAGTAGTCTATGGTGTCAAAATTCAGATTTACTATTCACCTTTTTTAGATGAAAACTAATTTGATTATAAACCATTTGTTTTATGCTGTGATAAATAAATATGGACTCATCGTGCCTATAGAGTTAGACAGCATCACATTTTCTGCTCCTGCAGCTCAAATTAAATAAATCAAAAGAAGAAAAAAACTATCAAAAACATTTGCTAATCTAAAAGTACCTACTACTAAATAAGTGATGCCAAACTCACTAAAAAACAGAAACAACAGGATAAATGAAGTGAAACCAAAGTAAACACAGAGACACATTGGCTGATGTAAGCTCGCTCCATTCTTAACAGGAAGCCAGGTGGGATAGTTGAGTTTGTTAATGCAACATAAAGAGTTAAACCACACTTAGCTGAGTATAAAAAATTATGAAACCAGAGAGTGAAGGACAGGTATTTTATTTGGTGGTGAAATCGGATAAAGATTTGAGTTAGTGGACATTATCAAGTGAAACTAAAACCAAACTAGCTGATTATAAACTTACCGTAAGTAATAACAGTGACACTCGAAACTCATTTAACCAGTCCAACAACGTAGGTGTGTCACCCAAAGTCACGAGTATGACTATAGTCAAATTATAGTTGTCCAAGAGAAAAACAAGGCAATGAGCTGCAAAGTGAAACACATTCATGGTAGACATTTGGCAAGCTTTAAATTGGTTTCATTATAGAGAATGAATACAATGAATAAGAAGAAGTAACTTTACATGTAGTTGTTCAGTCTTGTCACTTTGTATATTTCAACTCAGTGGTCGCATTTACCTATTTTACACCCATTTTGCATTTTTTGTGCAAACACTTAAGGTGAGGCTTGGTTTCAAAAATTGTTTTGTTTTGACTGAGAACACCTTTTACCATTTTTAAATCTGAGTATACTTTGATTACTGAGACAGGTAGCAGTATCTGGTTCAGGAGGAAGTACAATAAGATTCTAGAATCATTTTTTTTGTCTAAAGTTGATGCTATAGAGGCAAAACTGCACCAAGTTGTTTTAGAGCAACATTTATATATTTGATTTTAAGAGCAAGTCTTGCTTATTTTTAAAATGTCAGAACACACTGAGCATATATTAAAACAGTTATAGTATCATGATCCCTGCGTCTTGAGTTTCACTGTGGGTTTGTGATTCCTTTTGTTATGAGAATAATTTGTGTTTGGATTGTGCTCAAACTGAGTACACTGAACACAGGACAAGACAAAATAAAACAGGAAACATGAGACACATGCTGAGACACAGGGACTGTGTACGAATAGAAATGAGAACATATGACTGGGGAGAAAGAAAGAGAACATAGAAAACGGACACAGCCAATAAACAAACATAAAGAGAAGGATGACTAGAGGTGACACATGGAACACATTGACCCAGAGAGAGAGAGACAACTGGGAAACAGATGAATAAACATTAAGACAGAACTTAACATGACTACACATGGAATGTGAAAAAAATGGTAGGCAAGGAAACACAAGCATGGGAAGTACTAAATCAAATGATATAAATTAACCCAGAAGACACAAACACTGGGTCACAGACCAAGGAACATGACACAGAAGAGTTTTTATTGAGCTATTTTAATGAAATCGAAGCGCATATGCCGCTCTCTCTGCTGATCTGAGTAAATGGAACTCACCATCCAGCCTCTTTTTCTCACTTTCTCTCATCTGTGTAACAGGTATTATATGTTGAGATGACTATATATTATTGTTACGGCCCTGAGCCTTGGGAGTGAGAAATGCCTTTTTATTTTTATGCAAATCCAAGTGTGCTAGGACTCGTGGCTGATTGGTTAGATCAGAATCAGAATTTTTCACTGGAAAGCTGGACAGGTATGTTTATACAAAATTAGATTAGGCCAATTGTCCTATACATATTTTTGACCTAGGGGTAGGATTGATTGTGAACTAGAAAGGGAAAATGCTTAGGGGGCTGAGTACGGCTGGGTATCGTCACTGATTTGTAGAATCATTTTGATTCGATACAGGATCCGATTCAATTCGATTGGAATCTGGAAAGTTTTGCCTCAGACAGTCAGAATTATTAGTATATATCCATATTTTTGTATCTATTGAAAGAAAGCTGACACTGGTGAGACTTAATCAGAGATGTAAACAGAGAGATAAGAAACCTGCAGGTGCAGAAGCTAGCGAAAAAAAAAAAAGGTAAACACAGCACGGATACGCCGACACATCAAAATCTGATTCTTACGCGTCGGGTCCGCGCTACGTGTTTACATTTGTATGCAGAATCCGTAAACCTGCTCCCATTTACTGTTTTAGCTGTTTGGTGTTTGACGAAATTTTGTGAGGTTTAACCTGAGATGCTGGCGTTTCAGGCAAAATAACGTTTTATTTACAAATCGACTCAAGATTTTAATGAATCAATATCACTTTATTCAATTTGGAATCGATTGTAATCAGAAAATCGATAATCAAAACTCACCCCTAATCATGAACTTGCAAAGTAAAAACATGAGCTATGTAAGGTAGCCCTTTTGTTATTTTTATTTAAAAAGAGGATTAGTTTTACTGTGCGCTGGCCGAGTCTGTTTCTTTTCCTAGAAATAATTCCTCCTGCCCTAGAGAAAATCCTCTTGCATGGAACAGAAGAGGCTGGAGTGCAGAAACTGCACTGCAAGTTGGTAGATATGCAGGTATTCCTGGGTCCTGCAGACTATCACCTAAAAACAATAAACAAAATGATTTTCTAAAATGTGCAGCAATGTAATTTACGTATAGTGTCAAATACATTTTTTTAGTCTTTATTAGCTTTAATTCACATGGAAGTGTTCCTAAAGTCATATACTGTAATGATATTTACATTATGAAAAGATGATTTTGGACATTTCAAGTTTTTCACTTCTGCAGATAAAATGAATTGAGCAAAATCAACTCAAAATATTCCCACACGCCAGAACGTCTCTTCCTCGCTGGCTCCATATCTGTCAGTGGAATGATCACCTGTTTGCTATCTGTCACCATCAACACACTCCACAAATCCCGTGAATGATTCACTTCCTTATATCCATTTGAATCAGGTACCGAAGCAGTTACGTGCGTAATGAAGCTTCGGACGTCACTGGTCACGTGACTTTTGCCAAACGAAGCAAGCCTCGACACAGTGCTTCTGAACCAGTGTGTTGTTTTTTTCGACACACGCTCCGGAGCGTCAGCTTCAAGCGGGCCATCACTAGCTAAACCTGTTCGCAGTGTTGCACTTTGTTTGTTAAACCTGGTATGCATCTGAACTTGGTTTTATTAGAGTCTTGTGTTGCTGGCTTGCTATAGGTAACCCTTAGTTTTTATTTTCTGACAATAGCTTACCTTAGTTTACCCTTAGCTTTTACTCTTGACTGTTTTTTTTCTGTTTTTTTTCTTTATCAATTGGTTGCCCAGTGGTCTGTTGAACAGCCCAGTCGGTTTTCTGTTTAAAGTTTGCAATAAAACCTTTTATTTTACTCAGTTTTCATGTAGTGGGCTTGTGTATGTTACTCTCCTCCTGTCGCCTAGCAGAGGGGGTCGTAGCATTATTCATAATATGTAGGCAGCACAGTGGGGCAGCACTGTTGCCTCACAGCAAGAAGGTCCTGAGTTCAATTCCACCATCAGGTCAGGGTTTTTCTGTGCATGTTTAAGTCATGTGTTTGCATGGGTTCTCTCTGGGTACTCCAGCTTCCTCCCACAGTCCAAATACATGCAGTTAGTGGGGATAGGTTAATTGGGAACACTAAATTGTCCATAGGTGTGAATGTGAGCACAAATGGTTGTCTCTGTCTTTCTGTTAGCCCTGCGACAGACTGGGGAACTGTCCAGGGTGTACCTTGCCTCTTGCCCTAAGACAGCTGGGATATGCTTCAGCACCCCCCGCGACCCTGAAAAGGATAAGCGGAAGCGAATGGATGGATGGACACTTTGGATTAGGGATGGACCGATCTGATATATAGTATCGGTCTGATCCTGACCTGAATTGCTGGGTCAGATATGGAGAGAAATTAAAAAACTGTAATCTGATCCTTTAACCCTTTGTGGTCCACACCAAGAAAAAAGCAATGGAAACATTTTTGTTTGCATTTCTTATTGATTTGTGTGAGTAATTACCACAATCAATATTTTTAAATATATTGATCTCTATCAAAGGGTTGAGATGTCACTTAATTTCATTTAGTATGAAATGTCATTCAAATGCAAATACATTAGATAATACAGTTGAAAAAATCAAATAAAGGGCCAAAATATAATTAAATTAATAACAAAAACTATCCAGGGCATTGGATACAGTTTATTTCTAGCAGCATGCCAGTAAACATGTTTGTTCACTGGCATGCTGTTTTCATTCCATCAAAGGAAAGTAATATATGAAACAACAAAATAATAGTTTTCTAATCTGCAAATGTGAAAAATGTGCTACAGCACAAAATACTCACATTCAGGCCACTTCTGATTTAATGCTACAGTGTAAAA